CGAGGAGTTGGAGGTTGCTGTGAGCTGTGATGCCACCACACTCTACCCAGGGGGACAGCTTGAGGCTCTGTCTCAAAAAAAAAAAAAAAAAAAAAGAAACAACTTGGATATGTTAGTGGACTTTTTCAGCTTAATTTTTGAGAATTTAAACACAAATGAAGTATTTTCAATGAAAATATAGCATCCAAATGAAGATTTGCTTTATGTAAGGTTTATACCAGGTTGCAGAGATTTAATATGAAAAGTGGAACCTGGCTTGGCGCCTGTGGCTCAAGTGGCTAAGGCGACAGCCACATACACCTAAGGTGGCAGGTTCGAATCCAGCTCAGGCCCGCCAAACAACAATGATGGCTGCATCCAAAAAACAGCCGGGCGTTGTGGTAGACACCTGTGGTCCCAGCTACTTGAGAGGCTAAGACAGGAGACTCGCTTGAGCCCAGGAGCTGGAGGTTGCTGTGAGCTGTGATGCCACATCATTACCCAGGGGGACAGTTTAAGGCTCTGTCTCAAAAAGAAAGAAAAGAAAAGTGGAACCTCTCCTTAATCGTTTCATTCATCTGAGCTGCCATGGAACTCACACTGACCTGGCTCCGCCATGTCCCTGTCATGCTGTGGCTGAGACACCCCGGCATACTCTGTCCTCTTTGCAGATGCAGTTGGATCCGCATAAGCTGGATGTGGGCACCAAGTTGGACCTGTTCGGCAGACCCCCTGCCCCAGGCGAGTTTGCTGGATTCCACTATCCACAGGACCTGGCCCGGCCACTCTTCTCCAGTGCAGGTGAGACCTTGGCAGCATCTCAGGTGGCCAGGTGGGCATGAGGCAGAAACATCTTTCCCTGTCTGGCTGGCTGTGCCAGGAGCACAGGAATATACTGGGCCTTGGCGCCCATCTCTAACTCGTGGTGGGAGCCCTGCTTATCCCCACCCTCTGCTCCCAGATGCATCTACAGGGCTGGCATGAGCCCCATGAGCTCTCAGGTGGCTTGTCCTGAGGTCTCATCCTCAGCCTTCTGTTCTGATGTCTCACACCCAGCAGAGCCAAGGCATGGGCAGGAATCCCCCAGGAAGGGGGTTTGGCTGGTGCTGCTCTTCCTGTAGGGCACAGCTATATTGGGATCCCCTGGCCCCCCAGGTGTGGCTGGTTGCTGGAAGGACTCCTAGGACCCAGCACAGTTCCTGGAAAAGGCACAGAGGAGGTCAGCAGGGACCTTGCAAGTTTCCAAAGTCCTGCCCCTAGGAAGCACGCGCTACATGTTTCTCTCCCAACAATGAGCTTGGACAACATGTATGAGTGTCTACTAGGAACACTCGCAGAGACACTGCCCAGAGTCTGCTCATGGTGGCAGCTCTGCCTGGCATATATGCCCAGGTTCCAGACTGAGAGGAAGGCAGGCACCACGTAGACCGCCATGTGTATATAGTCTAAGCATCAAGTTGCAGGAACCTCCTCAGGGTTAGCATTGTACACAGGCCTTTCCAGGGACAGATCTCAGTACGTTATACTGTATACCTTTCCATATAGACATATATGGGCAAACATGCCTATGCACACATACACACATGTACCCACTGTATGCTCACCCACACAGACACATGTACACGTGAACATGTCTACATATGCACATCTGCACACAGCTGACCTTGAAAAACTTGGGGATTATGCGTGCAGAGCCACCACACAGGCAAAAATTCAAGTATAACTTTTGACTTGCCCAAAATTTAACTAATAGCCAGGTGTGGTGGCTCATGCCTGTAATCCCAGCACTGTGGGAGGCTGAGGCAGGAGAATTGCTTGAGCTCAGAGTTCAAGACATGTCAGAGCGAGAGTGAAACCCTGACTTGTTAAAAAAAATGAAGAACCATGGGCAGAGCCTGTGGCTCAGTGAGTAAGGCGCCGGCCCCATATACTGAAGGTGGCGGGTCAAATCCAGCCCCAGCCAAACTGCATCAAAAAAAAAATAGCCGGGCGCTATAGAGAGTGCCTGTAGTTCCAGCTACTCAGGAGGCTAAGGCAGGAAAATCTCCTGAGCCCAAGAGCTGGAGGTTGCTGTGAGCTGTGACGCCACAGCACTCTACCGAGGGTGACAAAGCAAAACTCTGTCTCTAAAAAAAAAGAATGAAAAACCCAGACTCAACTCCTGTGGTTCAAGGAGCTAAGGCGCCAACCACATACACCTGAGCTGGCGGCTTCAAATCCAGCTGGGGCCTGCCAAACAACAATGACGGCTGCAACCAAAAAATAGCTGGGCGTTGTGGCGGGCAGCTGTACTCCCAGATACTTGGGAGGCCGAGGCAGGAGAATCCCTTGAGCCCAGGAGTTGGAAGTTGCTATGAGCTGTGATGCCACGGCACTCTACCCAAGGTGACAGCTTGAGGCTCTGTCTCAAAAAAAAAAAAAAAAAAAATGAAAAACCCAGCAAGGCACCTCAGTGAGCATCTGTAATCTCAGCAGCTTTGGGAGGCTGAGGCAGCAGGATGCCCACAGCTCGAGCTCTGAGGTTACAAGGAGCTATGACGCTACTGCCCTCTGCTCAGGGCATAGGGCTCAACAATAATAACAAACAAATAGGAAAATAAAAAGAACAAAATAAAAAAAATTGAACAAATAGCCTGCTTTTGACTAGAAGCCTTACTAATAACACAGTCAATCAGCATGTTTTATGCGTTACATTATTGCATACTGTGTTCTTACCATAAAGTAAGCTAGACAACCAGAGTGGTTAGGAGCATTATGAGGAAGAGAAAGTGGCCTTCACCCTCATCATCTTTTCACTGACTAGGCTGAGGATGAAGAGGGTGAGTCTTGCTCTCATGTGGCAGAGGTGGGAGAAAATCCATGTGTGTAAGTGCACCCATGTAGGCCAAACTGTTCAAGGGTCAGCTGTATACACACATGCTCACACACGCACAGATACATGTGTACATATGTACACAGGCTCTGCATCTGCCCTTTCTCTGTAGCCGCCCGGTTCTTGAGGCAGATCACCTCCTCAGAGCCCTCCATTTGCCTCAGTGCCCTTTTCCTCCCCTCTTTTCCAGGTACTTAGCACCACCTAACACCATGTGATTTGTGCAGTCGGAGGGCTAGGGGGTGGGGAATGTCACCTCTGGACCCTCGTTAGTACCGGGGCCTCAGGAGCAAGGAGGTTCTTTCCAGCCCTGCTGCGTCTCCCTGAGAGCCTCTGGGCCATGGAGCTCCCTGAGGGTCTCTGGGCCATGGCTTCTCCCAGTCAAGGTTTCTCAGGAGCCAGGGTCCGCCCATCCAGGCTGCAGTCACTAACAGTGAGCAGCCCAGCTCTGGGGCCCCTGCCTTCACCCTGCTCCTGTCCCATCTGCCCTTCCCTCAGATACCCCCACCCTCCGGCCGTACCTCAGGACAAGACTTGGTATTGGGCCAGGAGGGTGCCTTGCGGCCTTCTCTCTGCTCCGCCAAGCACTTGGGGGCTTCACTGGAACTGGCTTGAAAGTACACATTGACAGGAGGGAAATGCCTCCTTCTCTCCTGTCTCCCTGTCCAGGAGTGAGGCAAATGTCCCATCTAGTTAGGCCTTAGTAAAATAACTCCTAGGTTCTTCATAAAAATATTATGACTGGGATTTTAAAATTACATTTCTTAACTGCCTTTTGCTAGAGAATAGAAGTTTGCATTGATTTTGAGTATTTGTATATTATGCATTGATTTTATATCTAGCAGTCTTTTTTGAATGCAAAGAAATTTACATATATCCTCCAGCATTTTTTGTGTAGAAAGTCATACCTATAAACAATAGTTTTGCTTCTTTATTCCAAACCAGATGACTTTTTTTTTTTTTGAGACAGAGCCTCAAGCTATTCCCCTGGGTAGAGTGCTGTGGCATCATAGCTCACAGCAACCTCCAACTCCTGGGCTCAAGTGAGTCTCCTGCCTCTGCCTCCCAAGTAGCTGAGACCACAGGCGCCCACCACAATGCCTGGCTATTTTTTGGTTGCAGCCATCATTGTTTGGTGTGCCCAGGGTGGATTCGAACCTACCACCTTAGGTGTATGTGGCTGATGCCTTAGCCACTTGAGCTACAGGTGCCGGGCTAGATGACTGGTTTTGATGTATAAACTGTTAATACATTTCTTGAGTCACTTTGCCAATTTTTTTTTTTTTTTTTTTGCAATTTTTGGCCAGGGCTGGTTTTGAATTCGCCACCTGCGGCATATGGAGCCAGCACCCCACTCCTTTGAGCCACAGCACTGCCCAACTTTGCCAATATTTTGTTCTAGGTGTGTTATCCTGAA